AAGTCTTGGGGCACGTGCAAAGCCAGGAAGTATATTATTAGATGCTCAAGCCCTGGAGTCATAGACTTGAGCTTCTATGCTGCCCTTCTGCTTATTCAGAGAGTTGGCATCTCTTAACCTCAATTTTCTCACCTATGAAATGAGGACATAATACTTCGTAGGATCATGATTAAATGAGATGGAATGTTGGGTGCCTGAAGTATGGGAAATGCTCAAAAATTGAGCATGAGTATTGTCTTTTATTTTTCTTCCGGCCTCTCTCTTTGAAACTCACAATCCAATTCTATTTTGTACACAATATTAACATGAAATGTTGCCCCCTTGTCCGTTACGCATTGCACATTTGTGGGGAAGCCGGTGCTAACCTGTTTGTAGATGACCTGCTTCTGCGTTGGGGTTTTGCGAGCAGCAGAGTGGCTCCCTTGCTACGATCTGTCAGAAGTCAGCCTTCCACATAGAGGTTTGTTAAAAGAAAAAGAGAGAAAAATATTAACACGAAAAGAAAAAGGACATAAAATCTGATTACACAAGCTTGCCTTTGTGCAGAGATCTGGAGGCGTTAGCATCTTGGGTTGTGCTGGACAGGTGTCAGATGTCCAGGATGAAACATTAGACTATGAGGACAGGGTGGCTTTGAACGTGGCCAAGAGAGGAGATAAGGGTGAGCGAGGTCCTGTGACTTTCACCCGAGTGACGCAGACAGAATAATAAGCAAGCATGAGGGCAGGTTTTGTTTGATCTCTAACTCTTTCTCTGGCTTTTGGCTTTTGTGTGGTTTCCTTGGAGGGTTTTAACCCTGGCATTTTTCAGAAATAGCCCAGTTGTTTGGGATGATTACAGGCAATCACCATTTCCCGGACACTGAACTGTGTTAGGCTCATTGACCAGCCACTTCCCGGTGACCATCTGGGGAACACGCAGCTGGTCCTGCTGTCTACCAAGTATCAGATCTCATGAGATCCAAGGAGAACCTCAGGGCCTTTGGACAGACTCAGGGCCTTTGGACAGACTGACAGACAGAGTCGATTGTGAAAGGGACCCAAGCACTCATTTCAGAGTGAGGTTAATGGTAGACCATGAAATCGACTCCAACAGAAGAGCAAGCCTGAAAGCAGCCTCACCCGACAGACAGACTGTTCAGGCAAAAATGGCTTTTAAAAATCCATGTTTGGAATCAGCAATCATTAAGAAAACAAAGGGGATCATCTGAGTTGAGAGGAGAAATCCTCCCGGGAAATCTTGGAATCTCACTGTCCACTAAGGTAGCCGCCAGCCGTGTGTGGCTTCTGAGCACTTGAAACTGGAGTCCAAATCGAGCTATGCTGCAAAATACACAATTTCAAAGATTTAGTACAAAAGAGGAATATATCTCATGCACTTTTTTATATTGGTTACAATTTGAAATGATAGTATTTTAGATACTAGGTTAAAATATTGTTAAAATTAATATTACCTGTTACTTTGTGCTTTTTGGAATGTGCCTGATGGAAAATTGTAAATTACACGCAGGGCTCCCATTATATTTCTGTTGGATAGTACTGCTGCAGAACTTCTCGCAGAGTTTTTATCCCTATTCACGACTCCAGTAAATGTTTCCCACTACTTTATGCCCTTATCACGATGATGCCAGGCTGCTAACAACGTGTTTATCCAGCACTCTTCTACCTCAGGATTTTGCTGTGCTTGTTCACACTCCTCCGGACTTTGTCACAAATGGCTCCTGTTCAGCTTTCTGATCTTGTCCCAAACACCCTTTCTCCAGAGAGGCCTGCCCTGGCCACAGGCTGATGAGGTCGTTCTGTTTTATTCTCATTCTAGCACCTGTTTGTCTTACCTGCCTCCCCAACTATACTGTGATCTCCACGAGAGTCTACCATGTTCATCACTCCATTTCCTGAGTTCAGAATAACACCTTGCTCATAGCTGGCCCCCAATAAATGTTTCCTGAATAACCAGATACATTAGCTTTTAATTCTGGTTAAGATTATTTAAACTGTGTTCCAACTTGGCGCTCTTCTTTTCTGATCCAACTGAGCACCGCTGTGGGCCAGCCACTGTTCTAGGCACCGGGGACAGGGGACAGATGTTTTGATCTCTGCCCTTTGGGAGCTCGGGACTTAGCAGGTTCCAAAGACAAAAAATGTCAGCAGAGTTGTCCTATTACTGCCATGAGCCTTTTGTTTCATTTCACTGTGCATACTGCTAAGGAAATAACCCAACGGAGGTCAAAACAAGGTAACCTCAAAGCTCAGCCTCCCTGTTTACCAGTAGCTGCAGATGGTTGTTGAAATGACAGTTCCTTTGTGCTCTTCTGTTTGTGAGAAACAGATTAACCATTCCAAAGAACTATGATTATGGGCAGGATCAAGGCATGTATTTCTGGCTGCGGTAGACTCCAAATGAGAAGATAGTTGGAATCCAAAGGGTACATGCTTGCAGAGGCTTTTAAGGGAAGACAAACCTCTTAATACATCATTAGATGACAAAAGTAGAGTGGATACTCATTTTCATTTATATGTACCTTATAAATGTGCAGAAAAGACAAATGCATTCCACATGGTTAACCTTGTCTACTGCAGAGTTATGGGGAAGAGTGGGATAATAAGGCACTACACATATTTTTTTCACATACCTCTATTATTTTTATTTATTACAATAAACATGGATAGATTTTCTACTTTCAAAAATGAATGAAGTAGTTTTTATAAAGAAAATTAAGAACAAAACACCACAAAGCTTCCCTGTGTTTGACAGGCTCTATTTCTTACATCTTAAATTTATTTTATTTTCGTACTGTGCCTCAGCTACTAAAGCAAAGATCAGCTTCCAGGCTGGGGACTCCAAAACAAAAAGTAAAGACTGTAGAATTTGTTGATATCATAGCTCTCCAAATACCAACAAAGTATACTCATATATCGCAGCTCTCTTGCAATAGTTAGGACTTCCTTAACCTCTTTAATTGGGCAGGTGCCCTTTATTGAAGGCACCTGTTATAAACTAGGTACTTGTTTATGTCATTCCATTTGATTTTCCAATCAACCTTTAAAAGATAGCTATTATTATCCTCTGATGAGATGTAGACCCTAGTGTTCTGGAAGGTTTGATGAATTGCCCAGGGTCACAGAGCTAGTTCGAGGCAGACGCCTACTTTGAACCTAGCCTTTCCCACCTTGTGCTCATTTTACCACCATTTGCAACTTCTTTTTAAAGAATAAGGTATAATGGGGGTTGAGCCATAATCCCAAAGGAGATAATCCCAAATATTAAAACCTGAAAGATCAAAATCCCAAAAAGTTTAATTTTGGAAAAAATAATTTTAAAATTCTCTTTAAAATACATTTATTTACATTTTTAAAGGAAGACTTATTTGAGAAACATAAAAACATAACATACTTCATAGGCCACTTTACACAATAAAATAGGCAATAACATCCTCATTTTTGCAAGCATAAACACTCAGGTATGCTAAAGAAAATTACGCGGGTATAATAATTATGAGAAGATATTTCCTTCACCTGTCTAGTGAAACAAGAAAATAAAAAAAAATAAATAAAAGAATAATTTTTAAAAAGAAAAAAAATTAAAAAAAAAACAATTATGAGCAGATAAACTGGATCATAAAGAAATATCTTATAAATTGTGGTCACCTGAAATGCTGTCTTGGACAACCTAAGTCTTTTGATGAGATTGATCAAAAACAGCAGAAGAAAAGTCTGTCCCAGCTCTCAGAGAGAGATCAATTTGCCTTCTGTGTTTGTTCTCTCTGGGCCCCCAGCCAACTGGGTGGTCCCAGCCAACATTGAGGGAAGATCTTCCTCACATCATCCACTCAGACTCACACACTCATCTCCTCTGCAAAACCCTTACAGACACACCCAAAATAATGCTTTACTAGGTTTCTAGGTATTCTTTCACCCAGTCAAGTTGACACCTAAAATTAAGTCCACAAATCCACCCCTCATCACCTCGACACTCATATGCATCTCCTTAAACCATTCTTAATTTCCAAATGAAGACAGTAACAAAGTTATAGTTCTGCCTAACACGATGGGACTATGCTGCACACAACAGAAAATGCACTTATTGTGAGTTTTGAGATTTTAGACATTAGGGATTTTGATCTTTTGGGACTTCAGCATCCAGGACTATGGCATTTGGGATTGATTGGCACCAGGTACAATGACATGGTTTTGTAATAGGTCCCATAGCTGAATTCAACTCTATTCTCAATGGCAGCCTCATTCTATGCACCTGTGAAAGGCTTCTTCTTCCCCCAAAGCACTTCCCTAACTAGCCTTTCTACCAATAAGATCTGTCCCACTGGGTGAGGCAGCAAGTCCCCTGAGATCCACTCTCCAAGCACAAGGACCCTTAGACATGGGTAACTTGTCACATTGTTATAAATCACAAACACCATCATGTGAATTAGTTATCAGGGAAATACATCTAGCAAGCTTCCAGGGTCCCGAGACCAGGCTCCAGGGATGTTTGATGGGGAAGGCGGACAAGGAATAGCTCTAGAGCAGAGTCAGAAATGTCCGGCGAGGGTGTCATTAAAGGACATGGAGAAGCTAGATGCAGAAAAAAAAAAAAGGTACCAACAATGGAATAAATCACCATCCAGCTCAGGCCTGAGCTCAATTACTGTGCTAATAAGGTCATGGGCAGGCACGGAGCAGAGAAAATTGGCACATGTGTGGTCTATTTTCCATAGATCGCATTACCCATCCCAGCTGTTGTTTCCAATGACCCTGCGGCTCCGTGAGTGGAAACCAGCCACCCCCTCAAGAAAGTGGTTCAGAGGGTGTGACCCCCAGGGGTCTGCCCAGTGTCTCTCTCAGACTGAGGGCCAGGAGCCCGCTTCTGCAGATTTGGGTGGAAGGGCGGGGGTTGGTGTACAAGGCTAACGGACCTTATATAGTAGTGGATTTCTAGAAGCAATCTGGGCAAAAATGCTGTCTCCTCTCTTACGTGAATGGGTTGTGCTTGTCTTCCCACAGAAAAAGCGCACCTTGAAGGGCTCCATTGAACTCTCCCGAATCAAATGTGTCGAGATTGTGAAAAGTGACATTAGCATCCCGTGCCACTATAAATACCCGTTTCAGGTAAGTCCGTCGGGCCTGAGGTGGATGGTTCCTCATCCCATAGACCATGGTTAAAACCTCAGCCATTGAGAGAGGACAGGAAGGGGAGGACTCCCTCTGATCCCAGCTTAGCACTTGGACCAAGCCCATAAGAAAACTTCTGCATTGTTTCAATCAATGATATTCATTCATCCTTGCTTTCATCATTTCTTTAACAAAGATTAAGCATAAAATCTTTTTTTTTTTTTTTTTTTTGAGACAGAGTCTCACTTTGTTGCCCAGGCTAGAGTGAGTGCCGTGGTGTCAGCCTAGCTCACAGCAACCTCAAACTCCTGGGCTCAAGCAATCCTTCTGCCTCAGCCTCCCTAATAGCTGGGACTACAGGCATGCACCACCATGCCCGGCTAATATTTTTATATATACATATATTAGTTGGCCAATTAATTTCTTTCTATTTATAGTAGAGACGGGATCTCGCTCTTGCTCAGGCTGGTTTCGAACTCCTGACCTTGAGCAATCCGCTCACCTCGGCCTCCCAGAGTGCTAGGATTAGAGGCGTGAGCCACCGCGCCCGGCCTACGCATAAAATCTTAAGGTGGATAGTTTTCATTCCCCTTTTCCCATGTCCCCTCCTACCTCCAGGAATGTCCTAATTACTCTGCTCCTGAGGAAAGGAAAACAGCTGCCATGGCGGGCTCCACGCCCACTGTGCTTTAAGTGCATTTTACTCCTGATTTCAGGCAACCTACTATAATCCTTGGTTATGAATTGCCTGGAGGTTCAGAGCTAGAAAGACTCAGGTTGCACAATCTGAGAACTCTCTGGCGTCACTCTGTCCAGGAGAGCAGCCACTAGCCACCTGTGGATGTTTACATTTAAACATAGATTAATGACAATGAAATGACATTAAAATTTCAGCTCCTCGGTCACACAGATCATGTGTCACATGTTCAATAGCCCCATGTGGCTGGCAGTTACTGTGCTGAGCAGCACAGATTATAGACTGTCTCCATCCCTGCAGAAAGTCCTACTGGACAGAGCACCTGGAGGGTATCTTTAGAGTCTTTATCTTGTTTCTGACTCTTGGCGTTTATAACTTCAAGGGCATGGGTATCTCCTAGCACAAGCCAGGGTACCATTCATGTTTGCCAACCTGTGGGATGAATGTTCCCATTTTTAGTGTGGCATAAAAAAAAAGCTTGTTTTCTGCTAGAAAAGTGACTCCCATGAGTTGTAATTTTTTAGGACAAAAAAAAAAAAAGAAAGAAAAAAGGAATGACATGTATTATTACATATTTCCAAGTTGTTAAAAATCCCATTTACAAAGGAGTGCATGAAAGAACTGGTGGAATTCAAAGAAGGCCTGTAATTAATGAATAGCATGGTACCAATGTCACTTTCCTGGTTTTGAAAACGTGCTCTGGTTATGTAAGATGTTATCAGTGGGGAAAGGTGGATGAAAAGTACACAGGAACTCTGTACTATTTTTGGAACTTCTTGTGAGTTTTAGACTGTTTCCACGTAAGAAGGTTTTAAAAATCCCAATCACAAAAATATCTCAATTACACATTCGTCATTTAATATCTCACTCTTTCATATTCCAGACATATTTTCTTAATCACTAAAAAGTTAAGATAAATGTGCTTTCTAGTCAAGAGGAGAACTTTCTCCTACTACCGTGTTTCTCCTAAAATAAGACAGGGTCTTATATTTATTTTTCCTCAAGAAGACACCCTAGGGTTTATGTTCAGGGGATGTGTTATTTTTTTTTTTTTAAGTATGATACAACCACCTACATTTATTCAAATATAGTTAAGTTGTCTCCCCTTCGGGACACACAATACTAAGGAGACTTTCCCCTCAAAGCCTCAGCTTACAGCACGCACAGGATGGCCGGGACCTGACAGGGGAGCCGACCTTGTTAGTGGGGCTGCCCGCACCTTTCCGGTCACCTCTGGGATAGTAGCTGTCACGATGGGGCAGATGAGAAGGGCTGCTTGCTTCTTTACTGCTGTGCAATGAAATGCATGGGTTGTGCAGATATGCTGTGTAGCCATGGCAATTACTAGGTCTTATTTTCGGGGTAGGGTTTATATTGCACAAATGCTTAGAAATCCTGTTAGGGCTTATTTTATGGGTAGGTCTTATTTTTGGGAAAACATGCATTTTGATTTAATGGAATATTGCTTACTGGTGACATGGAATCTAAGATGAGCAGCCTAAACTGCTCACCCTATGTTTTCATAGCACTCAAACAGCTGGATAACAAGGGTATCTGGCCAGGCATGGTGGCTCACGCCTGTAATCCTAGCATTCTGGGTGGCTGAGACTGGAGGATTGCTTGAGCTCAGGAATTCAAGATCAGCCTGAGCAAGAGCAAGACCCAGTCTCTACTAAAAATAGAAAAATTAGCTGGGCATCATGGTGTGTGCTTGTAGTCCCAGCTATTCGGGAGGCTAAGCCAGGAGGATCACTTGAGTCCAGGGGTTTGAGGTTGCAGTGAGCTGTGATGATGCCACTGCACTCTACTCAGGGTGACAAAATGAGACTCTGTCAAAAAAAAAAAAAGAAAAAGGATACCTATCCCCTAATCACCCAAATATTTGCCTATATGAGAACAAACGCCTGAGATCCCACCTGTGGCCCAGCAAGCTAGCTGAGTCTGCTGGCAGTCACCTGTCTCCAGGCCCACTGCTCACCTTAGACTCCGTGTGTGTGTGTTTCCAGGTTGTGCATGACAACTACCTCCTGTACGTGTTTGCTCCAGACCGGGAGAGCCGGCAGCGCTGGGTGCTGGCCCTTAAAGAAGGTAATTAAACTCTTCTGCCATTGAGTCACTGATACCTTTGATCTTATAGTAGGTTTGGGTTCCACAATAGAATAGAGTGTGATCTGAGAACAGCTAATAGCCAAGTATTTTTTCCTTTTGGTGTTGGTGTCTAGTTCTCTAGTTCTTACCCTGGGCCCAAGAGGCAATGGCCAGTTATGGTTCAGGGATTGGCCAAATCCAACCTGCTGCCTGTTCTTGCAAGACTCTGCCCTACATTTTTATGCATTCCATTTTAAATGATTGTATAAGTACCTACATTAGTCCCTCGATTTTGTCTCATGGCCAGCAAACCTAAAACATTGACTCCCTGGTCCTTTAAGAAAAAGCTTGCTGACTCCTGATTTAGAATGAAGAAGACGCAGGCCCTGGAGTGGGCTGGCCTGGGTTTAAATCCCAGCTCTGCCATTTACTACGTACACTTGGGCTAGCACCTTAGCTGCTGTGCTTCCGTTTCCCCTTCTGTCAACGAAGAGAAGAGGGGGGAATAACAGACCCTTCAGAGCAGATGTGAGTCAAGTCTGAGAACCAGGCTGGCCCATGGTCTACACCCAATACGTGTCAGCCAGCTTGAAAGCTTTTCAGACCACCAGGAAGGGTCTTTCTTAAGCCTTTTCTTCCTGATGACACAATGAGAACCAGTGCCATGTTTAAGCACATGGGGAGTGGAGCAGCCAGGCAGCCAAGGGGGAAATCCCAGCTCTGCCAACTATTAGCATTGACCTTGGGGAAGCTCCTTGACCCTCATGTGCATCTCCATTTCCTCAGCTATAAATTTTGACTAAGAACAGTCATAGGGTTGTTGCGAGAATTAAATGAGTGAGGATATGATAGGCACTTAGAACAATCTTAGTCCCAAAGATAGCTCTCGATCAATATGACATCATTGTTCTTTAGTCTGAAGCACTGGATGTGTCAGGACATCTGGGTTCCAATATCCATCTGTCTCCGAGTAGCTATGAGGACAAAGAGGAAGCAAAAACCATTTGATACTTCTGGAACTACAACTCCTCTACCTGAAAAATGAGAATAAAAATATGAAGTGTATCTTCTTCCAAGGTTGTTGTGATCTCTCTGCCATATCAGCAAGAAAAAAAAAAAAAAGGTTGTTGTGAGCCTCAAATGGGATATGAATAGGCAAGTGCTGGGTCAACTGGCAAGTGCTTCCAGACGTTGCAGTCATGGGACATAGAGCAAATACACTACAGTAAACAGTGATCAAAAAGGCCCAGCCATATCCACTGGCATTCTCCCCCTGGGAAGGGGCTCTACACACAGGATGTTAAAGCTGGAAGGAACATTAGAGATTAACTGTCTAGTTCTGGGTTTGGGGTGTTTTTTTTCCAGTAGTAGAGTCCCTTCTTTCTCTACCAAAATCTTACTTCAAAGCCACAGATTTAGAAGGGATAAAAAAGCAAAATTGCTGTGGTTGAAGGTGGGAGAGGTGGAAGGGTAGGAACCTCGAAATCGACCCTCTCCCATCCTTCTCATTACTCTTAAATCACTTTTATAGAGCCCAGTGATCCAGTCTAACAATGCCATTGCATCGTGGGGGAAACTGAGGCTCAGATGAGGGTTTGCCCTACCTAAGGACACACAACTAACACAAGGCAGAGCCAGACAACAACCCAGATCTGCTGATGCCTAAATCCAACACGCACCCAGGCAGTAAATAGCACAGTGAATTTACATGCGCAGGTCAAGGCCATTCTTCTGACAATTCTGGGTAAATACTCATTCAGGCGCACGCAGCAGGGTCCAATCTCAGGCAGTTATAAAGTTGGTGGCCCTTGATAGTCTGACCTGGAAATAACTCTTCTGCTGGTACCAATCCCTTTCAGAAACGAGGAATAATAACAGTCTGGTGTCCAAGTACCACCCTAATTTCTGGATGGATGGGAGGTGGAGGTGCTGTTCTCAGCTGGAGAAGCTTGCAACGGGCTGTGCCCAGTATGATCCAACCAAGAATGGTAAGAGACTGGGAATTCCCTTTCTTTGATGGAATGCAAACATTTGCATTTTCAAAAGAGAATCATGTGTCTTTATCACCAATCTGTTGATGCTTTCTCATCTCAATGCTGATATCCTTATAGCTCTTTTTTTTTTTTTTTGAGACAGAGTCTCGCTTTGTTGCCCAGGCTAGAGTGAGTGCCGTGGTGTCAGCCTAGCTCACAGCAACCTCAGACTCCTGGGCTCAAGCAATCCTGCTGCCTCAGCCTTCCAAGTAGCTGGGACTACAGGCATGCGCCACCATGCCCAGCTAATTTTTTCTGTATATATTAGTTAGCCAATTAATTTATTTCTATTTATAGTAGAGACAGGGTCTCACTCTTGCTCAGGGTGGTTTCGAACTCCTGACCTTGAGCAATCTGCCCACCTCGGCCTCCCAGACTGCTAGGATTATAGGCATGTGCCACCGCACTTGGCCTCCTTATAACTCCTGACTGCTCAAAGTGTGGTCTTTGGACCAAGAAAATCAGCATCACCTGGGAGCTAGTAGGAAATGCAAATTATCTGGCCCCACCCAAGACCTAGTGGATCATAATTTGCATTTTAACAAGATCTCCAGGAGATTTGTGTGCACAGTAAGGTTTGAGGTGCCCGGCTATCACCTTCATGTTGGGAAATTTGAATGGCCTGGTCTACTTAAATCTTAAGTTATAGAGACAGCCTTGAGTGATATATAGTATTATGTATTTCTTACAGTGGCATCATATCCTACATGTGTTTAATTACACAAAGTCAACTCTATACACTTAAGAGGGAGAGGAAGTGAAAAGAAAAAAACAACACAAAGCTTTTTATTTGATTGTGTGGCTTCTCCCCACTTCCCCTTCAAACTTGCCCTTGACCTCCACAATCTCAGAAAAAAAGAAGGCCACAGTCTAAATGCAAAGTGCAAACACAAAAAAAATTGTTTCTTGGCTTTTGATGGCAAAGGCTCAGGTCCTAGGAATTGGACTGTAATTCGATTTCACCTTATGTCATGACTGTGAGACCTTAAACCAGTAGAGTGCAATGCCACCCTAATGCACTTCCACGCTCATTGTGCCCTTGTTCCTTTCAACCCTCTGGGCAGATAGTGTGAGGGTCAAGGATTGATAACTCCAGGCCACACAGCTGCTACATGGCCCATGTAAATTGCTTTGCTCCCATTTTCCTCTCCTCTCAACCTCTTTTGCCATTTCTGCCTTTTCTCATCTGTCAGTTTCTTGTTTGCCCTAACATTTCATGCCTCAGATTGACAACCCACAGCGGATGTCACACACAGCTGGGTTTTCCGTGGCTTCCTGAGTCACGGCCCCTCTCAGTTGCCACGCTAAAAACCACCATTTCTCACCCTGCACCTTGGGAAAGAAAGTCTTTCAATGTTATCAGTCCCTTGGCCCAGAAAAATAATACTTAACCAAGTTTCAGAAGGCAATGACCCTCCACATTAGTCCCATTGGCCATACCCACAAAGGCCAGTATTTAACAGAAAAGAGAGGGATGGTTTTAATACATGGTTGGAATCTGCCATCGTAAAAGGAGGGCATGGGCTCCTCCTTTCGCTCACCTCTGTGAGCGAAAGCCCTTTCCAAAGCCAGAGATCTGGTCTCCAAACCTGCCTGCCAGCACTGTGCTGTGAGCCCTCAGATGCGTCATTTGGCCACCAAGGGCTCTGATGTCCTCGTCTCTGAGATAGTAGGGGACATCTTAGGGGCTAAGGATAAATTGATATCTAAGTGCCCTTCCAATTCTGAAATTCTTTCCATTTTGCAATTTTCAAAATTTTTGCACATGGTTGCAGCTATTCCTCCTCAGAGCGTAGTATTTCCCTCCACTGAGTGGCAAACACGTGACTGAGGGGTTAGGAGCATCTGAATGGCCCGTCAGCACTACGCTCAGGGAGGGCTGGCCGTGCAGAGTGCCTCCTCCCCACGTGAGCCCAGGGCCTGGCCACCCCGGTGCCTCCTGTGCGCATGCCAGGTGGTCGCTCTGCTAATGGTTTTGCCTTTGCTTTGCAACCCGCTGCCTTCTCCCCCTCTGAGCATCTCCTCGCTCTCCCCTTTCTGAGTTGCCTAAATAACCTCGCCCTGCACAGTTCTGATGCAGTGGGGAGCAGAGGCTTTGAGAAGCTCACTGTGCTGTGAACACAACACGTGGTCATTTGCTCTGGGGCGAAAGCTCGCAGGATGCCTGGGTTGGGGCACACAGACAGCGCAGGGTCTATGAGCACGGGCTTTAGAGTGAAAAAAAACATCTAGGTGAGTCCCAGCCCACCACTTCCTTGCTGTGTGACTTCATATATGTTACTTAACCCCTCTGAGCCTCTGAGTTTCCTCACCTATAAAATGGGGATAATGACAATAAGTAACTGCTGTGTGGGGTTTTGGGGCCCTTCAGTGGGTTATGGAAAGCAAGAGAGCTGCTGGCATTTCATGAGTTCTCGATACATGGTAATTATGTCTACTGATCTTTCTTATTTGTGGACGGAAGATGCTGAGGCTGGGATATAGCCGCACATGTATGTCTGGGAGGCAGCAAAGGGGGTTGAGTGAAAATAGACCCTTCTACACCCAGCCCACAGCGACGCCCACCTGTGTCTGCAACCAGAACCAGCCCTGATCTCCCCACGTAACTAACTTTCCACAGAGGGGGTGGAAGGAGAGGAAGGGCAGGGCCGGAGAGAGCAGAAAGAGAGACCAGTGTCAGAGTGTCCAGGGTTGGACAGGCCCAAGGCCACACAGCTCATATGGGTGGGGTGGGGTTGGGTGGCTAGTCTCCATGCTCCCGGTGGAGTGCGAAATGGGAACTATATTTCTCATCATGTGGGTTTTTCTTCTTCTCCATTGATTGTTTTCCCATGTCAACACCCCCGCCTGTCCTTGCTTACGGTGTTAGTGTCACTGTGTGACTCTCCTCTCCCGCATCCCTGACACGGGCCGTCCAGCTTGAAGTCAGCCTCACGCAGAGATGACCAGCCCACCGCCTACCTATGCGGCCCATTTTCTTCTCATCTCTAATTATTAAAGCAATCTTTTGGGCCAGGCGCAGTGGCTCAAGCCTCTAATCCTAGCACTCTGAGAGGCCGAGGCAGGAGGATCGCTCAAGGTTAGGAGTTCGAAACCAGCCTGAGCAAGAGCGAGACCCCGTCTCTACTATAAATAGAAAGAAATTAATTGGCCAACAAAAATATATAGAAAAACTTAGCCGGGCATGGTGGCACATGCCTGTAGCCCCAGCTACTCAGGAGGCTGAGGTTGCTGTGAGCTAGGCTGACGCCATGGCACGCTAGCTCAGGCAACAGAGGCTCTGTCTCAAAAAAAAAAAAAAAAAGAAATCTTTGTATCAGGCTGAAGCCTGTGCAGTGCCTCCCATGCCACAGGTACTCTCAGACACACAGAGATGCCACCTGCACTACGCTGAGCCCAGGCCTGACCTCTGCAGGGCCACACAGGAGAGACAGTGAGGGAGATGGAGAGAGAAAAGGAAGGACAGAGGGAAAGGGAGAGAGAGAAGACAGGAGAAAGGAGGAAAGAAGGGAGAGAGAGGACAGCTAGAGAGAGGGAGGCGCGGGGACATGACAAGATGAGCAGAGAGAGAGGGGAAGAGCGAGATGCTGGGGGCGGTGGTGTGAGGGGAGCAGAAAGGACACAGTCGGATGCCTTGAGGCAGCTAGAGGTGGATTTCAGCCGTTCAGCAAGCAGCACGGTGACCTCCCCCTCCTCACCCCCACGCCTCACCCCCACAGCGTTAGGAAGTCTGTGAGTCACTGTTCCCCTGAGTCATCCATTCCCACCGCTGGGCTTAGCAGGTGGCAGGGACGTTCATGGAAGTCTCTGTGCCGACCGGGAAGGGCACAAATCTAACCCCTCTGTCAGGCTTCTCCTCGGAATACAGAAAAAGAGGACCCAGAATATGGACTTCTAGAAGCCTCTGGCATCCCCTAGAAAAGGGGAAGAGCAAGCAGCAGGCCGGAAGAGATTATAGACGGGCTCCGGCTCTGGACTCCGTGTGTCCCTGTCTCCTCTGGCCCCTTCTCTTCTGTTGTTCTCCCTGGGCCCCTTTTCTCCGAAAAGCCCCCCGGGGCTGCTCACCTCCGGTTTGCTTGGTTGGGTTTCATGCTCATTTTGTCTTTTTCTGTTTTTCTTGTTTCAGCTTCAAAGAAGCCTCTTCCTCCTACACCCGAAGACAACAGGGTGAGTGAAAGAGCCCATGCTCCGGGCGCGGGTGGCCCCAGCGCTGCAGGCGGTCTGATGGGCGCGTCCCCACTTGCATTTCCCTGTCTGCCCACGTTTCTCCAGCTCTGGATGTTTGCAGCCGCCTGTCGTGATTCAGCCGACCTCAACACAGGGGTTTCCTGGGGCCCGAACTGTCTTGTGGGTCTGTCCACTTAAAGGACCACTCAGCTGCTACACCTCCACCTTTCCTTAGTCACTCAACAAACACCCATATCAAACTGCGTGTCCAGTCGCTTGACCACTCTGGAGTGTAACAACAGCTCACATCCCTATAAAATCGTGTACTTACCGGATGCCTTCACATACAGACACTTTGGAGACGTACATTTGATAACACTTTATATATTTCAAAGCACTTCCGCAGCTTTATTATCTATTTTAGAACTTACTATCTTTTCCATTCCACTTCAGAGGGTTATAGTTTTATTCCCATTGTAAAGCTTTGGAAACCGAGTCCCGAGAGAGGTCGTGAGGCTCTCCCAAGGCCGTTCAACAACTTAGTTAGGAGGCAGTGTTTCTGCTGGTCGTTAGTTAACTCGAGAGGTGGTTCTCAAAGTATGGTCCGCGGACCAGCATCACCTGGGAGTGTGTTAGAAATGCAGATCACAGGCCCCCCTCTCAGACCTGCTGCGTTCTGCATCTGCATCTGCATTCTGCCCAGCATCTGCCCAGCGTCTGCCCAGCAATCTGCATTCTAATAAGCCACCAGGTGAGCTGAGGTACATTCACGTTTGAGAACCACTGGTCTCTGGTGTACTGCTACAGGATATGACCCTTCCCTTCTGACAATATTAGCAGTCCAATATCCACATGTGAGTACTTGCCCTTTAGTCTAGAGCCTACTGATTCGGCTTCCTCATGCTTCTTCCTGAAGAATGAGCTCTGCTCTTGTTCCCTCCAGCCAACATGGTGACATTTGAAAACTGACATTTGAAACAGCTTCCCTATAAAGGAACCTCTAAATCCTCAAAACCTCAGGCTGGTTTTTAAATCTGTCTTCAGCCTACTCCCTCACAACAGGAAACCAAAGCACTTAAACTGCAGCAGAAAATGAGCGCTCTCTCTTTCTCTCTCACACCCCTTCTGAAGACGATTTCGCCATCTTTCTTGAAGGCATGGCAGGCACAGTTCGGAATCCCGCCGCCCTATCTTGCAGACAGCTCCCTCCACGATCCCGCCTAAACCCATGCCTCTCATCTTAAGCCAGTCTGCACTTGTCTTATTTTCAGTGTCTGTGAAGGTGAGAGACAGAAAACGTGGCCGTCCCTGTCCCCTCAAACCCGGCCATTTGCCTTTCAGACTTCTCGGAGGACCAGTGTCAACACTGTTTGAAGCATTGTGACCACAGGGGCTTTGGAATCAGTGTTCTAGTTGCAACCACATGTGTAAATCCATTGCAGTGTTTCTTACTCTGAGCCACCGGAAGTCATATCTCTCTTCCCCTCATTGTTCTGTTACCCGAGGGGTAATGACATCTTGGGTTGGCACATAGAGAAGCCATGTTTCTCATGTATTCTGAGCCAACCGGCCTCACGTTCTATGAGGGAAAATCTGTGGAGCAGGGCGAACCCTACAGAGGGGGAGGGTGGTCATTCTGGGTCAAGATGGAGAATGTCCATGGTCAGGGTAACCGACAATCCCAGGCCTCTCTAGCCTGTGGGTGGAAATGAGGTCATGCTTTGCACTGAAGTCCAAATTCCGATTCTTCTTGGCTCCCCCCATCCACGGGAGCTGAGCCCTTCCTTTAAGGGCTTCCTGAAGGGCTACTGAGGAATGTGTCTGCACGTGTCCTTTCTCCCTGGCTCCCTATTAAAGCACCTTACACTTGCCACCGCTAGCGGGAGTGTCTGGGAGGGCCCCTCTCCACCCAGTGGAGCTCTCCCCAGCTGGGGCCAGGAGACCTCTTGGAGGCCAGGGCTTCTCTGAGGCCCATAGCAGAGCGGCCAGGCGAGGGGACCTTCATCCACTCCATCCCTCACCTCTTCACCTGGGTGCCCAAGCAGCCCTTCCAGAACCCACAGACTCTCGGTTTTTCCAAATGCCATCTCTGGATCTTCTCTCTCCAATCTAGTGGTTCCCAACCCTACCAGACTCAATGCTCCCCTTTTATAACAAATATTTTGTAAAACTCCTTTATTTCAAATTTCAGAACATGGCGGGGATGTATGTGACACATTTTGGTTACATAATCTGTTTTTGTACAGTTTGAGTCAAAGTCATAAGTGTGCCCTTCACCCAGATAGTGGGCATTGTACACGTTAGGTGTGAATTTACTCATCTTCTCCTCCTCCCTCCCACACACTTGATTTCCTTTGAGTTTTACTTCCATATGTGCATGTAAGTGTTAAATGATTAGTTCCAATTTAGTATCGAGTGCATGTGCTGTTTGTTTTTCCATTCTTGCAATACTTCATGTAGAAGAATGGTCTTCAGTTTCATCCAGGTTGTTACAGAAGATGCTAGATCACCATTTTTTTATGGCCAAATAGTGCTCCATGGTATACATATACCACATTTTATGAATCCACTGATGATTCTCAATTGCAAAGATGTGTAAAACTCCTTTTGCTATCCTGAAAAGAAATTCATAAATATACAACTTACGTAAACATGTACCTTTAAAAAGAATCAATAGTTGCCATAAGTGTAAAGCTAAAAAGGAAAGAAATAATTTATCAAACCTCATGTGTGTTTTTGTGTGTAAATATTGGTGCATGACTACACTGGAACACATGAAATGATCAGTTGCTTGCACCTGTAAGTAGGATCCCATTGAATTTGGCAGCTCAAATGCACTGATACAGGGATGTCGTATTGGTGACTCAAATACAGTATTGCTACCTGTGATATGATTTTCCAAAATGGAAAGTTCTGAACTAAACAAAGTATAATCTTCCCTCAGTGTACAAGGTATTTGCATTCCTGGGAAACCCAGTACTTTGCATAGGGTAGAGGTAGTATCTAGGATCTTCTTATGAATTATAATCACTGTATAATCAGCTTTCTCACCCCATGAATGTCTACCAGGACATTTAAAAGTGGTAGGAAATGTGGGACCATACAGATTTTTGCATTCTTGGCCCTCATCCATTAAATGCCTATAGCACACCTCAAACTTTGTGACATTCAAAATACCCCCATAGATGTCCAACATGCTCCAACATGTACTATGGAAACATACCACCATAACTCCAGGACCCTGATCTGACCTTTCTCTTCATAGGGATTAACCAGTGAGTTGACCTCTAGAGAGATGAATGCCATGTCATAGCTCTTCTTTGTCTCCTTCAAGTGACCTTGAACACAATTCAACAAGTACAACTCTTGTCTGTCCTACCCAGTATACTACCTCCTCCTAAGCTGCGCAAATGTCTGAACTTTAAATTCCAATCTGGAATTTAAAGCTGGGATGATATACCACATCAGTGTGACAAGACTTTTATTTTCCTTTTTTTTTTAGCTCGAATATTTTTATGTCACCAAATGCTTCCATGTACTTACAGAACTTGTGACTTCCCGACACTAAATCACATTCTAGCCAGCAACTCGATCATTTACTGTCTCACAAAATCTGCCAGTCCAGAGCAGGTGTGCCCATCCTGAACTCTGCTGATATTCTGCTTTCTGATCTTTTCTTCACGTCTTCAATATCTCATCCTAAGAAAGGCATTGAGGAGCAGAGACCTCTCAGCAAGAGAGTGGACAAGCGAAAGAAAGGTGCCCAAGTGCTAGAGTGGAGAGCATGGAGACTAACTCAAGGGCTAAATTGGCCATGTCCATTTCCCCACCTGGGCCTCCGTTTCCCCATCCTAAATGAAAGATTAATGGATTAAATGATCTGTCAGGGGAATTCCAGCTCCAGCAGCCCACGATTCCATAGATCTGGACAAACCGACAAATCATACTGGCAAAGCGCAGGTAGAATGCCTTACCATTGGCCGCATCTCATTCACCAAGAGCGTGATGTTTTTGGAGAGAGGCTACAGCATATAACATGGTGCAGGTAGAGAAACCTGCAGACTTTTGTGAAAAGTATGTGGCTGCTTCGAACTCACTGTGGTTATGATGTACCTCATAGAGTGAGAAATGTGATGAGTTCCAGGTACTGATGTTTTTGTGTCATATTCAGCGCCATAATTCTAACCCGTAAAGAAAGCCAACCAGAGGAAGGCAGAGTGTGGCCTTAGATAGGTCAGTGGATGGATGCTAGGAACTGGTGTTGACCAGGCATGGGCCCAGGAACAAGTCACAGCCCAGGGGGTTGCTGCTCTTGCTTTGCATTTCACTTCCTTTTAATGTCTTTGCTTGGTCTTCTTGTTTCCCTTCCCCAGCGGTCACTTCCAGAACCGGAGGAAACAGTGGTCATCGCCTTGTACGACTACCAGACCAACGATCCCCAGGAACTGGCGCTGCGATGCAATGAAGAATACTGCCTGCTGGACAGTTCTGAGATCCACTGGTGGAGAGTTCAAGACAGGAACGGGTAAGGCATCTTCCTTTTCTATTTATAGTAGAGACGGGGTCTCGCCTTTGTACTGGTTGGTTTCAAACTCCTGACCTGGAGCAATCTGCGCCTCGCTTCCAGACAGCTAGGATTACAGTTGTGAGCCACCGCGCCCAGCCCGTGTAGCCCTCCCTTTTTTAACCCATCAAATTGTTTTTTTCTTTTTTAAGTTTAATAATATCTATGTTGGCATTTCCATAACCCTGTTGAAGGGAAAGTAAATTTGGCAAGCTTTTTGACCAAATTATCTATCAAAATTAAGATACCACACACTCAACAGTTCCATAGTTAGAAATGTGATATATAGGCCGGGCGCGGTGGCTCACGCCTATAATCCTAGCACTCTGGAGGGCGAGGGCGGTGGATCGCTCAAGGTCAGGAGTTCAAAATCAGCCTGAGGAAGAGTGAGACCCATCTCACTAAAAAATAGAAAGAGGCCGGGCGCTGTGGCTCACAGCCTGTAATCCTACTCTTGGGAGGCCGAGGCGGCGGATTGCTCAAGGTCGGGAGTTCGAAACCAGCCTGAGCAAGAGCGAGACCCCGTCTCTACTATAAATGAAAGAAATTAATTGCCAACTGATATATATAAAAAAATTAGCTGGGCATGTGGACATGCTGTTTCCCAGCTACCGAGGAGGCTGAGGCAAGAAGGATCCACTCGAGCCAGGAGTTTGAGGTTGCGTGAGCTAGGTTGAAGCAACGGCACTCACTCGTAGCCTGGGCAACAAAGCGAGACTCTGTCTCAAAAAAAAAAAAAAAAAAATAGAAAGAAATTAATTGGCCAACTAATATATTATAGAAAAAATTAGCCGGGCATGGTGGCGCATGCCTGTAGTCCCAGCTACTCAGGAGGCTGAGGCAGCAGGATTCGCTTGAGCCCAGGAGTTTGAGGTTGCTGTGAGCTAGGCTGACGCCACGGCACTCACTCTAGCCTGGGTAACAAAGCGTGACTCTGTCTCAAAAAAAAAAAAAAAAAGATGTGATATATATATGTACGTATGTATTCAAAAATTTGCCAAGGTATTCAAAAAAATACAAGGTCCTCATTGAAGCCTTGTTTGAAATAACAAAGAAAACAAATAACCTGGCAACTAAATGTCTCACCATAAGTGATTATTAAATATTTATAAGACAATCATACGTGCTAACACTAGGGGTTGTTTTAGAAAACCTGGAAAACTTGGGACACTAGAGCAGCTGTTTTAAAAGTGAGGTAGATTTGCACCAGTTGTATGAAACTCCAGTGTTTATCATTCAAGCTTAAAGGCAAGATGTCGGGCGACTGGATGTCTTAGTACATGATGAGAAAAGATGCATTTGTGTACGTCTAGTTTTTGTTTAAGATACATAAGAAAGTGTTCATGGAGATTATTTTGGAATTGATGGGGCACATGGAAAATGGCCTTTTTTCCATGTATATTCGTTAGTTTTCTTTAAAAAATAAAAAAATATATTTTTTTGTTTAAAAGTTGATTTAATAGACTATCATCATCATTACTTACTAGATGCAGTAATAACTCTATTAATGAAATTAAAGCATTTCCAACAACATAATTATTGTTGGAGACTTGATAACTATAGGCAGAAATAATCGGGAAGCAGAAAGATGCAAAAAATAAAATATTGACTAGAACATCTAGATGTTTCAATGATGGAGTTTTCTTTTGCTTTTTTATTGTTAATAATAGCCTTATACTTTGAAAACATTTAAACCCTTAATATTAATATACAAGGATGTTCATTGCAGTGTTTTATATTTACAAAATATTGGAAAGAACCTAAGTGCCAGAAAGGATAC